AAAACGAATATAACACAACACAAACACATGTGTTCGTATCCATGTACGCATTACAAATTATACCTAACCCATTTACACTTTAAAGCAATAAAAAACATATCCACCCCCAAACACACAAAACCACAGCAACAACAAAAACCATGAAGAATATTACTCAACAAATAACGTTTCCGCGCGAAGCGCGGACAAACCACTAGTTTAAGATTAAACAAAGCTTGATATTACATAAAAAGGTCATTATCTAACAAAACAAACCCTTCTCCTCTTGTCTCTCTCTATCTCCGCCGCTAAGGATGAGACAAGCGCCGTAACGGGATGTCCTCACCATAAACGCCGTTAAATCCCAGTCCGTGTCAACACGTGCCATTAGCAAACGGAAGATTCAAAAGTAAAATAATATTCCGTTTAAATGTCTCTGGAACAACAACAGTTGGGGTTAGGAGTGACCACCGTCGACGGTAACGATAACGGCGGAGAGAATAGTGCGCCGTCTAACGAACTCGGAGAAGACATCGTCAAGACGGCGAGACTGCCACGCTGGACGAGGCAAGAGATTCTGGTGCTGATTCAAGGGAAGAGAGTGGCGGAGAACAGAGTCCGGCGAGGGAGAGCTGTGTCGTCGGGACAAATGGAGCCGAAGTGGGCTTCTGTTTCATCTTACTGCAGACGTCACGGAGTTAACCGGGGGCCGGTTCAGTGTCGGAAAAGGTGGAGCAATCTCGCCGGAGATTACAAGAAGATTAAAGAGTGGGAGTCGAAGGTGAAGGAGGAGACTGAGTCTTATTGGGTGATGAGGAACGATGTTCGTAGAGAGAAGAAGCTTCCTGGTTTTTTCGATAAGGAAGTGTATGATGTTGTTGATGGCGGCGTGGTTCCTCCTCCTCCTCCTCCGGCTCTTTCGCTTGGTTTGGCTCCGGCGTCGACGGAGGCGACGCCGGAGGGAGTGTTGTCTGAGTTGGAACTGAGAGAACCGGCTGCCCCTAAGTCACTTCAGGGTGAGATTGAGATTAAACTTTTAAGTGTTATGTATGTTTTCATCATTGTGACGCTTGTTGTAATGAAAAAATCATTTTTTTTATGAAGATGTTATAGACAAAGAGAAGCAAGCAGCGCGTGGGGCAGATGATCAAGGTTTGTGTTTTTTGTCGTTTTTATGTTCTGTCAGAGATTAGATCGCTCATGTCGGAGTTCGAACCTGACCTGGGATGTTTCTGAGGGATTGTCATTGATAAAATGTGTAAATAAGTGTTATAATTAGTTTACCTCTCTGTGTTACCAACACAAAGTTGCATGATCTTTTCGTTTATGTTGGAGGGTCTAACATTATGTTTTTATTTTACCAATTTAATTTTTATTTTTGGACTCGAAGGTAGAGTGAAAGAGAGAGATACAGAAGCAGCAAACCCGGAAGCTGGATCAACGTCACAGGAGGCTAGAAAGCGTAAACGAACATCTGATAGTGAAGATGAAGAAAAAGAAGAAGGGACAACGAGCATGCAGAACCAGTTGATACAGATACTGGAAAGAAACGGACAGTTATTGGCGGCACAGCTTGAAGTTCAGAATACAAACTTGAAACTAGACAGAGAGCAAAGAAAAGATCATGGTGATAGCTTAGTTGCTGTTCTTAACAAGCTTGCAGATGCTGTGGCTAAAATCGCAGATAAATTGTAGATAGATTTGTAGATTTGGTCCGGTATATATTGCTTCGAGATTACTTCTCATTCTTAATCTTTTTTTTATTCTTATTTACCACCATTGTTGATTGGATATTGATGCTACAACAGGAAGCTCACATGTTATATAAACATGGAGATTTATACGGTTTTAGCCTTTAGCCTGATTCAGACATGTTATATAAACATGGGGGAATATGGGGGAAAGGGGGCCAGGTTCTGAGAAAGGGAAAGCAACCCTCATATTCTCTTTCTCCATTTTATTCATCTCTATTTGAATGTAGCTGAACATAGCCACTGTAGTAGTCTTGAGACATCGTCCTGGTTGGTTGGTAGATTCGGTGGCGGTGGAGCCTCCGTTATGGGTTGGTATAGTGGCAAATGAGCCTGCACAATTCAGACAAGATATATATACACCATGCATGGCATATTGGTATAGTTTCTGCTAATTGTCTGAACTAAAATTATAAAAAAAATGTTATTAGGGTTGCCGTGTGGTTGATTTGATCCATAAGAAACATGGAAAGAAGTGATTTTTGAAGCTTTATGTTTGCAATTCGTTTGCCAATGGAGACGAGACAGTTCAGAGAAATGATATTTTGAGAATATGTCAGAAGTTCAGAACATACAAGACATTCACTCTATAGAGTGAAAGGCACTTGGCATTTGGGAAGTATTGATAATTACTAGGCGGTTTATTCCGGTTTAATTTGATTTATGTCGGTGCATTCTGGTTCGACAAGATTTTAGAATTTCAAGTCCTGTCGTTTCTCTCGGCCGATTAGCAGCGTTGGTCCATTACTCATCTATAAACTACGAAGCGATTAATAACCGAATTTACTTTGGGCTTTGGTCTCACCAGAGTTTCTATTTTGTAAGCTCTCTTTCTTGACAAAACCCAAACAAATTTCGTTTGATAGGTCTAACTCAGAGTTTGGTTGGCCTGGTCACCTATGGGTTAGGGTTCACAGAAAGAAAAAAAAATAATTTTTAATATTTCTTTTTTCGTTTGATTTAACAAAAAATAAATAAATGATCCAATCCTGAACTGCCACATAACGTGGAATCCACGAAATTTAGATGAAACGGGTTCATCTCATCGAGCATGCATGAAACGAGTTCACCAAAATTCTTTTATTTTTTTAATTTTTTTTTGAAAATTGTGTGAACTTCTCCATGATATTTTCATCGAAATGCTCTAAGAATACTTAAATAAATTTAGTAGTACTTGATTTGATTGATTCTGAATAATAATTATACCATTTAAATTCGAATGTTAGTTTTAAATTTTTTTAGAAATTTCTTTATTTTACACAATTGGGGATTGATGTATTTTGGTTAAGACCTTTGAGAACATAATATTATCGGAGACATTTTGTTTCTAAAACTACTATTAATTTTTTTTATTAATAAAAAATTCTAAAAAATAACAAAATTTTCCACTATATTATATGAATATATAAGTTTCCAATATATCTTCGACGAAATTAAAATTTTGTTTATCTGATAAAATAAAAATCACAATATAAGTTTGGGTACAAAAATTATTTCCAAAAAATAAATTAATATTATATGTGTTATATAATGAGAAAAGATAATAGAAAAAATGAATTTAAAAATGCTTTCCGAAGTAAAAACTTGTGTGATAACAAATATTTTACTCTGTTATTTTCTTTTTTTAGATACAATTTTTTACTCAAACTATACATTTATTTAACAATTGAAATTATGTTTCTACAAATAGTTTCGTATTCAACACTTTTTACTAGGGCTCAGTTTTGACTTTATCCTCCATAAATTAACCCTGTGATACTGTTTTCAGGTACTAAACAAAACATTACTTTCATTTCAAATTTTCTTAGTGAACAATTTATTTTATTTTACAAAACTTTTTATTTTATCATCAACTTAACAGATTTATATAAATTATACGAATTAAACTGATAGCTCTGCATTTTTATAAACAATTTATTTTATCGTTGTCGGTATATGATATACATCGTACAGCGAGACTTGATGCATCCTACACAAATGAAAAAATCGGCAATAACTCTTGAAGACGAAGTGGATGACACATCTTCCAAATGAAAAAAAAATGGAAATTGCTAATCCCATAAATTTTGGCGAAAAAATCCTCTCTAACACTCTGATGGATTAATATGATCAAAGGAGGACAACGGCTTTTGTTATTTCTTCATCTAAATTTACTAAAAATATATGTAGGTTTAAAAATATAGCTTTTATAATACTTACAAATATAAAAGTGTGATGTAGATATTCTGAATAAACACTATTGGTTTCTAATTCACCATTTATCGATTTTACAAAAATACTAATAAAGTAGAACACCTTTTTGAGTCAAACTAGATTGAGTCGAACTAATCTGAGCTGATAATAAATCAATGAGCTAATATTGATTATCGTTTCTTCCCACCATTTTAGTTAAAGGTTGTATAATTTATTCACAACTAATCCCAGTTAATAACTAATACAGTATGTTTTGTTTGCATTGATTTTTTTTAAAGCATGAAATGTGGAGTCACATGTAGCAATCATTATGATTGGCACTCATCTTCGTAAATTAAGAGGCGATTCCTCAGGGTTCATTTCATTGACCAACTTTAATGCAACAACTGTTCCGAAACATCCCTTCACGCATTATTTAATTTGTTTAACTCGTGAAGGCAAACACAACTCTCATGTAAATGCTACGTTTCTTCCAAATTTCAGACTCATTGTAACACTATACCACCGTCTGAAAATACTGCTATTGAAACTTGTTGTTAATGCCCATTTGCAAGAGAAATCATCAGTTATAGCCAAATTAAATAACATTAAAGAAAGAGGAAACCTAAGCAGATTTTCATAAGAGAAAATAAAAATGGAAACAAAGAGAAAGAGGTTTCAAGAAGAAGCAGAATAAGGTCGATCAAAGTGAAGAAGCTGTGCAGCACATTTGGGACAGTCCTCGACAAGCTTAGGAACCATGAAGTACATGAAACAAGCTTTGCATCCAGCAACCACAAGCACATCTTTTTCTTCTTCTTCTTCCTCCTCTTCCTCTTCGTCGTCATCATTCTCATCCTCATCCTCTTTTCGATTCTCTCTTGATGATGGAGATGACGCTGATGAAGACACCTCACTGTCGTAATATGAGCTATCTTCTTCTGAGCACAATGTTCCATATGATTCTCCACTGTCACTATCTGCATTCATCATCACTTTCCTGGGATCTTCTTTCACTTTCATTCCGTTTTTCCAGTTTATGTAGTAAATCTCTCCTGTCTAAAAAAAACCAACCTCCACAATTCAATAAAAAAGTGTAAAAATGTAATGCCAAGATAAGCTTATATCTGTATTTCTTTTTATTTACTCTACTTTCTTACACTACAAGAAAGAGGTCTTAATTCCGACACTCAAGTTTGTCGGAACATTATTGGAAAACGTCGTCTCCGACATTTTTCCGAGAAACTTCAATACGTCGGCGTTTGACGGTCGGAAATACTATGTTGTCGGTGAGTTCTCGGAAATGGCCGAGAATATGTGTTCTCGGGAAAGTCGTCGGTAGTTAGTGACGTGATTCCGACAAACTTTAAAAATTTAATTAAAAAAAAATAAATACAAAAAATGAAATTATAAATAAAAAGAAAATAATTTAAATCCATTAATATATTACAGCCAACAAATAAAAGTGAATATAATGTTCCTACCAAAAAAAATAAAAGTGAATATAATGTGTCGGTGGAAGGAGCTACGGCGGTGGTGGCGGAAAGAAATGATGGTGTCCAGTTAAACATCATCGTCGGTGGAAGGAGCTACGGCGGTTGTGGCAGAAAGAAACGATGGTGTCCAGTTACACGTCATCAATAAATCCTTGATGGTCTTCTCCAAAATGTTAGATCTGAAACAAAGAGATGAGAAGAAAATCATTAAATCAAATAATATGAAGGCGAAGAGAAGAAAATTAAGGCGTAAGGAAGAAAAAAGAAGACTGAGATCTCAGAAGTTAATGCAATTATCGGATGTAAGAGGAAAGAACCTATAAACCATGAAGCAAAAGAAATTAAAGAAATATCGAAGTATAAGGAAGATTTGATGAAGTTAATGAAAGATCTGAAAAAGGAAAATTTTGCAGGAGAAGAATAAGAAAATGAAGGAAAACAGAGAAGAAAATAAAAGAAGTAAGAAGAAGAACGATTAATGAATCATTTTATTAGGAAACACCTCTATGGCAGATTTATTTTGAAACAAAAACAATTTTTTTATAGAACTTGACGGAAATTTGACGGAAATAATTAAAAAATCAAATAAATTTTCACGGTTAATGTTGACAAAAAATGAAAAATATTGACGGTTATTGTTCACGTTCGTTACCGAGAAAGCTCCGATAAGATCTATAATTATTTTTGACACTTGACCGAGAATAAATAAAATTGTCGGTAAATGTACTTTAGCGAGAAATTTCCGACAAGAAGTTCCGAGAATCTTCCGGCAACAGGTTTACATCGGAAATTTCTGAGATGATTCCGACAACTTCCTTACGTTCTCGGGAATTTATCGAAAGTCTGTCTATACATTTCTGACAAAAACGATTCTCGGAAAATTTCATCGGAGTCGGCACACTTTTCTTGTAGTGTTATGCAACCAAGTTGTGCTAAGACAAAAAGCTTTGGTCCTAGATCTATAATACGCAAATGACTATGTACTTTAATATATACTAGATCATAACCCGCCCGACTGGACGGGTATTTGTTTATATGGTATATATAAACATTTTTAAAATTACAATTTAATGCTTCCAATTTTACTAAGTAATAGTATACTATTTAAACATCGTATTTCATCACTGTATTGTATAACAGGGGCGTCGGTAAAATGTTGTGACCCGTAAACATTTTAATAATAGTTTATAAAGTTTTTTTGGGTTACATTTGGTGTAAATTTATATACACTAAATAATTTACTTAAACTTTTGAAGTTAATTTTTTAATGAAGAATTGGAAAGCTAGTATATCAGTGTAAAAAACTTATAACAATAGTCAATATAAATTATATAAATAAAATATATATTATTCTTGATTTATTTAAAACACGAATATATATATGTATAAAAAGTTTTCAGAAATAAAGTAATATCAATGATAGAAAAACCAAAAACAATAATAATGGTATTTTGGGCCGCAGTAATCTTTAATTTAATAAATAAGCCCATTAAGTTTATATGCTATCCATGTTTCCAATCAAATTTTTAAAATTTTCTTATTCATGTTTCCAAACACTTCATTTTTGTACTTCAGCTTTAATAGTATAGATGNTTTTCAGAAATAAAGTAATATCAATGATAGAAAAACCAAAAACAATAATAATGGTATTTTGGGCCGCAGTAATCTTTAATTTAATAAATAAGCCCATTAAGTTTATATGCTATCCATGTTTCCAATCAAATTTTTAAAATTTTCTTATTCATGTTTCCAAACACTTCATTTTTGTACTTCAGCTTTAATAGTATAGATGTTCATTATATAATATAGTCATTGATCTCTTAGACATATCAATGAACAAGAAAATATAAACTTAAACATTGTTTGTTTGTTTAGAAAGATTGGTCTGAAAAGCATCAAATAACTGTAAAATCTATCTTTTGTAATTTATCCAAAAATTAAAGTTTTTCATTCATGTTGGTCATCAAACGCTTCAAAAATTTATGCAATAAGATACAGAAATCTGATTCTTTTTCTTTTAGTCTTTTAAAGAAAAAGCAAAACTTTTTTTCCGTAGCATGCTTGAAAGAAAAAAAAAACCTATGAATAAAACAATATTTATACGGTCTCTGAAACAATAAATGCATCAGAAGTAAACAAGAAAAATGCATTTAATGCAATCCAAAATAAGATACCGACACGAGTTCGAAGTTTCTGCAGTGATTAATTTAACCTAGAAAGCTGGAAACAAAACAAAAAAAAAGGAAAGATGATTATGAATCTCATCAGTCATTAGATCTTTGTCTGTTACCTTGAGATCAAGACACTGTTCCCAGTGAGAAGGAAGAGATAAGTGAGAATTGAGCTCCAATGTTCTATCTGAGATCATAGGTATATGTTCCTTAGTGCTCTCTTCCGACGATCTTCCAAACCCATCTCCGAGTCTTCTTCTCCGATCACTAAGAGAAATATTCTGAACCGTTTTGGTTATCGTCTCCATGTTCGGTGCCTTCATCTCTCCTCCCCTTCAAAGGCGCAGAGAAAGAGAGAGAGAGTAACAACAAGAAGATTTTGATAGAGAATATTTTTTGAGTATGAAAACAAAAAACTTAGTAAGGGGTAATTTAGGAATTTGCTAAGGAGTTAGTTGTTAATTCACGCGCGCGTGGGGCTTTTTGGGTGAAATGAGAAAGTGGATCCGTAACTATCAGACACAAAGGGTGATTGACTACAGAAGCTCGCACTTTGTCTCACGTCGGTGTTACCGTGTTTGTTGAATATATACGCAAGAGCATACGCCACACGCGCGAGGTAGGCGCCTGAGGATTTTGCTTGCGCGTGTAGCTGTTGTATCGGTTAGTGGCCGGTTTATATGATGAGAATAATAAAAGTTTTAAATCTTGGGAAGGGTTAACCTGAGGAATTTCATTTTATATATTTCATTTTATATGTTTGGTTTGTTTTTTGACAGAAGAGATAATTCTGTTAAATTAAAATATAATTAACGTACATATCGAAAAGAATGCCGGAACTTCCTTCATTCTGTTATTTTGTTTTCTTTTTTTTTTTCTTTTAATACCTTGCGAATCTTACACATTTTTAGTTTTTTTACATAAAACACAGCTCACATTATATTAAAACGTAAAAAAAACAAAGGCTTGGTTTTTTTTTGTGGTTCGAAGAATCGAAGGTAAACAATAGTATAATTCGAACGCTTTACATAGGCTAGGGTAATTCTTATTAAAATTTGAAGGCTTGAGGAATGAAACGAATCTGGTCATGAGATGGCAAATTATAAATAGTCATACTAACCTCATAATGCAATATGATGGGTGGAGCAAAATAATTGAAGAATAATGATTTTTTATTTAAATTAAAAGTCAACTAAACTATAAATAAAGTTAAGGCAAAATGTCAAAATTTAAGCCATTTTTTTTGTTTCCGTGGATAAATGCTCTCAACCTTTAGTTGCATCACAAAATTCATAGTTGTATCACCTCACAAATTTTATAAATAGCAAAGTCAAGATCATCACGTAAAAAAAATAAAAAAACTAAAAAGCCAAGACCATTAACATGTTTTTTTTTTGCAAAGGGATTAATACCATTAACATGTTCCGGCTATCATTTATAGTTTATGTAAGGGACGATACACAAGGATGAATAAGTTTAGAAGATAATAATTTATATATTTTATTCTCATCGAAACTATTGAAAACCATATAATATACCTAACGTATTAGTTATAGCAGTACCGGTCCTGAGGAGAAGCATTACAAGCAACCGCTTCCGGTCCTCAAAAGATATTTGAAAAATTCAGCCTTTTTTATAAGAAAATTATTATTATATATAGTATATAAAAGTTCTTATAAAAACGACCAATTTTTAGAAAATTGCTTCTGGTCTTTCCCATGTCAGGACCGGTACTGGTTATAGACATCAAGCATGCTATATTTGTCTAGTGTACGTGGTTAATCTTTTTTTTTTTCTTTTTTTTGTACGTGGTTAATCAAGATATTAGGTTCATGTGTAAGATATTTAAGAGTATAACGTTTATTACAGAACCAAAAAAACGTTCGTTCAAAAAAAAAAAAGAACCAAAAAAACGTATGCCATGATATGCCCATACGTACGCTCACACATGCAAAGACAACTAATTACTTTCTTTTTTTTTGTCAACACATTTTGGTAATTTGTACAAAAATACAAAAGATAAATTGTGATAGACGGATGTATGTATGTCTGGAGGTAAATGGTATTTTTCCGTAAATATGTTTAACCAGAAAAATAAATAAAACAAAAAAATAGTGAAAATAGTGAAAGAGAGAAGTGCAAGGGGAATCTGTCGGAAGTGTAAAAAGGGAAAGCGACAGAACCAGTCCAATCCAGTGTTGTTCTTTTCTTCTTTTTTTCCTTTAAAAATGATTTTTTTTTGCTTTTACCAAATGATATTTTGATTTTATTTTTAAGAAGGACATTTTTTTTGTGTGTGATGGTATTGGTGGTAAAGAGGGTTTCTTAGTTGTAATATACAGAAGGAAAGAGAGACAATGGGGCCTGAGAAGGGAATCTCTGAGGAGAGATAGAGATGTCTCAGATCGAAAATGACATCAATGTGTGTTTGTATGTGTGGGTCTCCTCTCTCCTTCTCTATCGAAACCAAAATTTGACCACGTTGATCTATTTTTTCCTGTTTTTTTAGTCTCCAATTTGTAAAAATTGAATTGAAAAGCTTATCTCGTTTTGTTTAGTATGCAAGGTTCACTTTCTTATTGCTGTTACTTTGGGCCTGAGCCTCTTATATGTTGATCAAAATCAAGCCTCTAAGGGCCTTCATTTTACCATAATACAATGAAACGAGGAAGGCAAGAGCTGACAACAGGTTGCGTGCTTAGTTCGCCGATGGGCGAACTAAAAACTTCTCGGATATCCCGCGCCTCGATCTCTCGCATTCCCGATTCGAAACTTACGTCTTTCGACAAGGTCACGTTCTAAACTACGGCCGAAACATCTCCCGTTCCATCTCGATCCGACTTACCATTCGAGTTTTACGATAAAAACCGTAAAACTTCACTTTCTCGGAAAGAACTCGAGGAAATCGTATAAAACGGCAACGGTTAAGGCCTAAGGTCTACATGTGAAATTATAAGTTAGCTACCAAACTTTTTTTTTCTACATCACCAACATTGTAAATGTAAATTATCGATCTTCAGCTGGTTAATGTGATTTGCTTTTGTCTTATTTTGTTGGTCAGACTCAATATTTACTAAAGAGTGGTAACCATTTAGAGAATCTGACCATTTATTTAGCAAACAACTAATTCTAAAGCTGTTTTAATTTTAGAATTCGTAACTTTTAATATTATAACTAGATTTTGACCCGCTCAACCGAGCAAGTTTTAATTTCTTATATATATTTGTTTACATTATTATGGGTATATATATTTTTTTAATATTAATCACATAGTTAAATATTTAATAATTATTATTTTGTTTTGTCAACCAAATGGTGATTTGTTTATGTATATTAATTTTAGATGATATATTGTTGTATATATATAAATTTAAGATATATTAATTTGTATACATGTAATACATAGTATGTTACCCCTTTTTGACAACATAATATATTATTTTAACATATATATTTCTATTTATGAAAATAA